GCCCTCTCCGGTGAGATAGTAGACAAGCAAGAATAGGCTAGTCCGTAATGGTGTTTAGGGACGTTTCAAAGTTCTTTCATGTTATAACTGCGTGTTTTCACCTAATTCAAGGAAGGGAAGGGGCTCCGGGGTGGGTGAGCCACATGAAAAGGCGCCGCGCCGCCGCATGGCCCCTCCCAACTCACTTAGCACCCAGAGCAATACTTGACGAATTCGGCAGCAGAAGTCAGAGGAATAAGCGCTCAGTCGAATAATTTAGTGAATAGCAGAGTTGCGGTCTACATGACCATCGGCGCCCCAGCTCTATTCTAGGGGTAGATTCATCCCCCGGGGAGCCAATGGGGTCGGGCTTCTCTGAGCTCTCGCTAAGGTAAGGTCGCAGAGACAAACATCACATGATTACCAAGGGCTGTCGATTCTTCACTCGTTTATAGGAAAATACTTAGCTCCGTTGCAACTATCTTCACACAGAACAAAGGCAAAAACCCCATTTGAACACTCGCGCCCTCGGCAAACATTTCCTCTCCCTCCCCTACCCCGGGCGTTATGCATACGGGCCAATGTGTATTAGATGATCCCTTTACGCTATTATCCACTCCAGCTTCCTAGACAGGTCAAATTGTCTCAGCAAAATCGTACTCACACGGTTTGGAAGGAATGAACCAGGGGTTGCGAAAAACATGCCCAGCAGTCGTTTACAGATTGGGGTCTGTACTGCCCTGGGTACACACCAGATCCCTTACTTCAAAAGCCACTTTGCGAAATTAACCAAGCCGAATGTAGCGGTTCTGCCCTAACCATCATATCTGCCCGACCTTTCTCATACTACCAGTATAGTTTCCGCGCCCTCGATGAAAGCCTATGCCAAGGCGTCTACTAAAATAAGAAGGACGTGTGTAGCAGATTGTTTAATTTATTGCTTCCCGTGATGCGAGCTTCTACCATGACGGCATCTACTCAAACGTTGACAATCATGTGCTGGTTCTAATGGTACTTATACGTTTACAATGTTTCAATTTCACCTGTACCCCGATTATTCTCGCGATAACCTGATATAAGTAGTCCTTCCAATAGAATTCATCATTCAGAAGACCGTAGTAGTATTGTTAACATCTGCACCTACCTCAGCTGGCTTCCAGAATGGCACTGTTGTTCTTTAGACTAGGCTACCCAGCGCCTCTAGAGCTTCTGTACCAATCTTTGGCCAATCGAAAACGTACATTTCCATATCTTGGCTGGCGAGTTTTTCGAACAGATAGTACCTCTCGTAACTTGCTAGTGCCAGCGCTTTTTTAGACCCATCACACTCTGAGTACTAAGACCACACTGCTTGTCTAATGTGGATATACCTCGAGTCTGACCAGCCTTTTTCCTGCGTTGTCCTGTAGAACTATCTTCCCAAATGTTACTCCACCTTTGCTGGGTCGACCTTTGGGGATCTGGTGAGTCATCGTCCTTGATTCTTCTTTACAGGGTCATCACGGCCCGGTGCAGCCTTCATCATCGAATTCTCTGCTCCGTGTTCACAATTGCTTTCTTGGGAAAGTTTATGGCAATGTTTCTTGCAGGCATGAGCAACGGAGCCAGCTTTGCCTGGCGGCATATTGATATTCTTAATTAGTTTTAGGAATGATCGACTTTCATGTATCCGGATGCAGTCGTTTTACATTGTCTGCGCCTCTTCCCCAAAACAACAAACGTCTTCTACAACTGTAAAATCGAATCTCCTTTCACTGCGAAGAAAGCATAATACCAACGGACTTGCAGAAAAACTGCCACTTTCATTTTTCCAGTGCTACTTCTTGCTTTGAATGGTTGACTGCGGCAAGGAAAAGGTTGAACTCATAAGCTGCGAATGATTGAATTCGTCTGGCTGTCAGCTGGCATGCCTGCCATGTTGTCCACCCTAAACGAGGGTAGTCAACCGCTGCTCACACCAATCGCGTTCCCTGGATCGCCCATCTGAAGGTAGAGAGCAAGCAAAAAAGCGCTCATTAGGAAATTGAGGCCTTTGCTGTTTTTTTTCCTGAGGAACATTTGCAGATAATCACTTAACCAATGAACCACTCTGTCCTCTGACGTGAGTAATCAACGT